ACGTTCCCCCGTTGGATGCATCACAACCCACTCCAAGCCGCATTTGCTGCCTTCCGAGCACCGGGCATCACCCCGTCATGCAGCATGCGCCCGGCCACCTCGAAGGCCATCCGCCACTGGCCGCCAAAGACCTCAGAGTCAGACGCTGGACTTGACATTTTTGTGACATGGCTAGGGCCGGCCAGGCTCAGGAGACTCACTGTTGGCGCCGAAAAGGGAGGGACTTTGTTTGGGAGCGTCGTTCAAAACGACGCCGTGCGAGATGCACTTGTTGGAGTGGTTTCAAAGGGAAACAAAGCACCATTTTGGGGTCTCGCTATTTGACACATATCGGAAGTGGACATCAACTTGCGCAACAAAGCCTTGCTCTTAACTCCAGTATGCCTATATACACTCACGGAAGATCGTTCAAGTAAACCCTTACGAGAAATGCTCAAATTTGGAGCGGTCCATCCTCTTCGCCACCACACTGCAAACTCAACATTGTTCTATCCAAAGAAGCAGCCTCCCAAATAAACGTCGATATCACTATAACCCCTCAAAGCAAAACAAAGGCCCAAAACAAAAGCCGCTGCAAATCCTGGTTCGTTCGACCCTTCGTAAGTTTGAAACCCGAGCTCCCTGCCCCCCTTCTGTTGTCATTGGATATGTTCAACCAACTCCATCAGTAGCTTCTGCTCAACAAACATAACCGGGGTCACTGGGGTTAGTCCCTTTACCATGGTAAAAAACGCCTCCTTGGCCCTTTTACACGGTGTGCCACCCGCCGCCCAAGGCGACCCATTTCGAGCACTGCATCCGAAGCGGCGCAGCACCGCATCGCCGTGTTGAAGCCCAGCGTCCCCACGCGCACGGCCGCGCCCCGGGCGCCTCGGGCCATCGCGCGGGCAAACCCCGGCGCGGGAGCGCGCGCTGGACGCACGTCGACACGTCTCCCTGGCGAACCGATGGAGGTTCAAGCTGATCAAGGCTCGATGATAACAATGGCTGTAACCTAAGTTGAGTGAACCCCACAGACGTGGAACCTACTGGCCAAATGTCTCATCGAGTGAGGGGGCAACGGCTGTGATCCCATCCCTCGAAGGGCAGTTAAAAGTATGTGCCACCGGCCTCTTTTTGTGCCTCGTGAAGGATCACGATCCACTGACACAGCACAAGAAGACTTCCCGGGCTGTACGTCCAAGGTTGCGTCGGCTTGCATCTTTGTGACACATAAAACACATCCAGCTCTTTGTTCAATCACGAGCAACATGAAGGGAACTCCTTCCTAAAGGTCCTGGCCAAAAAAGGTTCTACCCTGTAACTTTAGCGACTTTGTACTCCCAACCTCATGCAGGGGGGAGAAATGGCCGTCCACCTAAGTCACAATCACACCCTAGCAGCCCCCAGTGAACATCCCAATCCCCACTAAAATAGGTTCTAAAATGGGTGGTGCACCTACCCCAAAATGGGATCCCATTGGTTTTGACCCACAGCCATTTGGCTTCTCCCCGCTGAACGCTGAACCAAAGCCACAAAACACCCTGAAGGCCGGGCCCCCCGGCTGGCCAGCAGCTTCAGGGCCTTGCGCCAGTCCTGGCCGCAGGCTGCCAGCACCCGCCGGACCTTGCGGTCCTCGGCGAGGGAGAGGGAAATGGGCGGAAAACTGGCTCAAGTGGACCATGGGATAGGGGTCTTCTTTTGGGGGGGGGGGAGGTTATTGTTCGAACAATAATGGGAGGCAACAATTGGATACACCGTTCTACATGTTTCAACAATCAGCTGGCCCAACAGTCGGGACAGAGGCACGGGGGCACCGGCTCGGGTGAGTTCCTTACACTCCTTGCTGATGTGTGTGTGTGTGTGTGTGCGCGTGCGTGTGGCTGTTGTTTGTACGCCTCATTTACGAATGGGCACCCCATGGAAATTCCACGCACCCAAAGGAAGCCCGGTTGAAGATGGAAACCAAAAGGTGGTCACCGAAAGAGGAGAAAAGTCAGGAACCCTCCTACCCGGGTTCTAGGACCATTCCTCGAGAGCACGTGAGTGCCACGGTAGGGGCAATGATGTTGGGGCTCCCTCGGGTAACAATCTTCCATGTTTGTTCGCAAACGCCAAGGTACACGCAAATACCCAAGGAGCAGCGTTCGACTTCCCCAGAAGGGGGAGAAAAAAAAACAGGTGGGTTTGACCGCCAGTACCAAAGGTCTTTAATCCTGGCCCACATCTAGAGAACCTTAAAATACAAGATACTTGGGGAAAAATGAAAGAAAAAACGTGCAACAAATGATCGCATCGCACCAAACCCCCCCCCCCCCTGTCTCTCGCCGAGGCGCGTCATCGTAACGGGCGACGCTGCCCAGCCGGTGGAGCCTCAGGAAACGGTAACGAAACCAAATCCGTCAGGATCCTCTGACTTAGAACAAATGTATCATGTGCTTTTGTTTCATAAACTCATTCTTCAGCGTAAGTTCGTGCCATGGTTGTTGTAGGCGTCCGTTGCTCTGTCTGCCCAAATCCCTGCATTCACAGAAGCATTGCACCCTGCGTCTCAAGCCACACAAGTTGCCATAGATGGTTGCATTGGAAACCAACGATACCAGTACGGGGTTTCAAGGGGATTGGGCTACAACCCAATCCACACCCTCCCAAGTGCTAGCACGCCACTTGGAAGCCTTTGAACCCGAAGCCGAGCAACAGCCTGCTCGACATTCACGGTCCGGCCGTCCCCCCTTCGCCAATTCCAGCCCAAACAAAACCTTCACACCCAAAAAAAATATATGAATCCAAAATATCAAAATCCGCCAACCAATACTCCCAATTGAATTTCGATTGCCAAAATGAGGGAAGTGCACCCAGCAACAAGCAGGTTTACACAATCCCAAAAAGGAAATCGCTGAACCCGCGACACGGAAAATTCGTGCAGTGCCACCAAGGCTCCGAGCGTCGGCCTCCTTCAACTTGGAAACCGTATAAAGCCTCCTCGTGGAATGCGCGCGGCCGGGGTTACTTTGCGAGTTCAAATAGAATCCAAACAGGGTCCTCGACAAGGACATTCCTCTGAAAAGTGTGGTTGACTTGTTTGGGTGTTACCAAAAGGAAAAAATGTTTGGGCTTGGGTAAACCCGGTCCCTCATAGGCACCTCGCGCCAGAAACTGCTGCTCGGAATGAAACAGCGAAACAGGTCCACATCATGAACCACCAAAGTCCCAGGCACAGATCACTTGTCACCCGGGCCGATTCCAAGAAGCTCCACATGACCGGGGTCGGACGACCGTCACAGCTCACAAATGCTGAAAGGGTCAAATCCGGAGGCCAGGGTACTCTAGACACCCAGCTCCAAGTTTCAGAAACTGGATCCTAGATCAGCTAAAGCCTAGGGTTGGGCTCCTCAATTTAAGAACCAACAACAAGCTGGGGCTGAACGCTTCAGAATTCCTAGGGTCCTCAAAAAGGAAGATTCTTCAGAAACATGGATCAGTTTTGCGCATTGCAGGTATATCTGTAGAAGAGCATAGCTCATACCTACCGAATGGTTCAGAGTCACGCCACACACGGTTTCCACTCTACCGAATGACCCAGGGCCCGCGCTTCGGTTCTTCCACCGTCGGGCTGGGGCCTCAGCAACGAAGATCTTGGGGGCCAAAAGGACATGGCAAAAGCAGGGGTCCTCATACGAAGCCGCCTTTGAAACAGGAATTCAGCCCGAACTGCATGGTTGGAAAAGGGACCTTCGACTGCAAATACGCTTACCAGCGAGAAGGACCGCAACATCTCCTTGTGCAAAAAAAAAAAACAAAAAACGGACACCGTCTCAAAACAAAAAAAAAAAGGAAAAGGAAAGGAAACCGTTTGGAGAACCCAAAAGGGTTCTCCACAAGAACACGCAAGAAAAACGGAGCGTTGTCGCTCCTCCAAAAGCCTGTGCGACCCAAGGCCGCGGCTGGGATCCGGGAAGTCCCACGCAAGCCTCGGCCACATCTTCCGGACCTTCCCCCCGCGGACTGGGTGCGGACCTTCCGGTCGTGCAAATGATGGACGCGCAGCCACAAGACGTGGTTTGCCCGGTTTGCCCTTCTATTTTCTCGGCCAAGCTTAAAAGGGTACCCCAACAAAGACCCATGCTCATCTGAACAGCTCCAGCCTTCAGGCACGGCGGAAAAAGAGCGCTCGTTCCGACAGGAACTTGGCCCAAAAAATATGTGGCTGAGATTTGTTGGTGTGCATAAACCTCCTATCTAGACCATGCTCTTTATCAAGGCAGCTGTTTATTGTGGTCAGTACGGATGGCTTTCAAACCTGCAAATGCTCCCCAAACACGCACTCCACATTCACCGCCGGCAACACAGATTTTTCTGCGCAGTCGCACCGGCTGGGGGCGGCACATCTTCCCTCTCTGCCGCTGCCATGTCGGCTGTCCGAGAAAAGAACCGGACCCTCGATGAGCTGGTTTCAAGGCGAACAGCAACCAATGGCAACGCGTCCAACAGTTGTGACTGTTTGAACCCTTTTGGCAGGCTTAATTTGCATGGGCATGCATGTCCACGACCCATTCAACTTGGCAACCAAAACAATACCACCAGAGTCCCCCTTCAGAGTGGCGGCCCATCCTCCCCCCCGTGAATATTGTCAGATGTGCCCCTGGAGTCCGCTCCGAGCGAAAACCTGCCGCTTGATCTTACGGCTGCAGAATCTCCAGTCGGAATTAGAACCTAAAGGAGTCTCCTAAAGGAGTCTCCTAAAGGAGTCTCGGACACTGAGAAGCAAGGAACTCACAAATCAATATAGAGAATCAAAAAGGATCGACGCAAGTTGGGACTGTTCTTTTATACTCTCGCCCTTGGGATTTCATTGTCGCTCAGTCAAAGCAAATGACACTTCAAAGTCATATCCCAGAGGAGAAAAACACTCAACGCCACGGCACAAGTACCTGCCTCCAGTCCACCACCACAACCAAAAATAGCCACCCACACACACACACACACATACACAACCCCCGCCCAAGCCATCTCCCAGCAATTTCTTCCACGCCCGTTTCGGACCGCGCGGATCGCACCGCCTGCGATCCTCACTTCGCATCGCTCAGCACCGCCTCCGCGGCTCGGCGCCCGGAGCGCAGCGCCGAGTCCAGCGTGGGCTCCGCCAAGAAGTCCCCGCAGAGGTAGATGCCTCGCAGAGGTAGAGGCGGCTTTGGCGGTGCGTTGAGGTAACTCACTTTGCTCAAATGGTGAGGTTCTTGTTGGCCAACAAGGGGGAAAAAAAAGGGAAACAACTCCCAAATGGGAGAATTTGGCCGGTGGTTTGGCGATTCGGGGCCATCCCCACGTTTCAAGAGGAATCGGGGCAACCAATCCAAACTGCGCGAGCCTTCGTGAAAAAAGCGGATAAGTATGGGGGATCCTATGTTTGGAGGAATTCCGAATCATTTTTGGAGGAAACACGCCCTGCTACTCTGCGAGACGTTTTGATCCAGGGTCGACGATAGCTAACGCGGCAAACGGAAACTGATTGAAACAGACTGTGGCTGAGCGCGGAAACAGGCATCTTCCGACAAAAGACGCTGAGGGTCGAACCACAGAAAACCCCTTTCTCAGCGCCGCTTCATTCATGGCTGCTGAAGCAACAGCAAGCGAGGCGCTCTTTCCTGTGAAAAATGAACTTCCGTGCCTAGTTGTTTAAAGCGGCCTGTAGTGCTTTGCCTTCCTTGGGAAAACTTTGAAGGAGGTTCAACCAAAGAGGTCATGGGCAAATACCTAGTGTCCGGCTGGGTGGGATTTGTTCGAGTTGTCCTCCCTCCGCGTCCTTTTCAAACCAACGACCCACTGGCTGACTAGCCAATAAGTTTGTCAGGTGCTCCGTTCCCTGTCCGCTTTGCGCCAGCCTTTTAAGGAGGGGCGGGGGTCGCGCGGCGGCCACAGCTGGCTCGGGAACTGGCCCGGCTGGTGGAAGGGGATGCGGTAGACCTTCCGTGGGCATGCCAGGACCTTCCCATCTGATCTTGCAACGCAAACGATTTCACCGTGCCTCTCCACCATGCACCAGATGGTTTCAACCCTCTCTTCAAACAAAATTTGCATGGGAAGCCAGCCAGTCCCCGTCCCCCAACTCCCACACTCCGGCAAACGCCCCACTTTTCTTCCACCTGGAAACATATCCACGAAACCGGAAAACCCGTGCCGCTCATGCCCCGGCCTTCAGCAGCTGCCAGTCCCCCACATCTCTGCCGAACAAATCCGCCAGCTGGCGCCGCACCCAGCCCTCCTCGCCCTGGCCGTTCCGCAGCGTCACCGCCGCCAGGTGCCAGCCTACCGGCGCGTAGGACCGCTGGACCAGGGAGGGGAAGCCCACGTTCACCAGGCGGAGGCCATCCTCCTCGACCTGGAAAACGCAAGAATGCCACCAGGAACGGAGGACCGCAAAAACACGAAACAGAAAGTACGACCCTGCGCTCGGGGGTGGGCCAAGAACAAAGGGCTTGGTTTCCTGTCACCTTTGGTGTGCAAACTGTCGACTCCGTCTGACATCTCTGCAAAACCGTTGCAACTGGGTGAACCAACCGCCACACGCCTGGTCCGTGCTGTTCAGCACGATCAGGGGCTCCGTCACCGGCATGCTGGCGCCAGGCACGGCAAAGTACCAGGTGCAACTGGCCTCAGATGTGTGCGTCTCAAAGTTGTGTTCCGCTGTTGAAGTTGTTCACTGATTTGAGACGCGTCCTCTGAGAGCCGTAGGAGACCCAAATGCAAAACAACTCTTCCCGACTCTCAAGACCGGACGCCTCCGCCTTCCTCAGACCCTGCTTCTGCGTCTCTCGAGGGGAAACCGGGGGATGCTCCAAACAGCTACCCCTCCAAGAACGGAGGAAAAACAACACCAAAACCAAAAACTAGAACCCCCCTCTCCCACCTAACAAAAAGAAAAAGAACCCGCCCCCCGCCCCCCTAACCCTTTTTCAAAAAATGAAAACCACCACACATCGCCGCAGACGCCTTCCTTCCTTCGAGCGGCCGTCTTCGGCAGCTCCGGCAGCTCCGGCAGAAGGCGCCGGGCGGCGGGGCCATCGGTGGCCAGCACCACGGCGTCGAAGCCGCGGACGCCGCCTCGGCGCGCAGTGGGCGGCGGGTGGGGGGGGGGGGTGGTGCGTGGGGTGGGGGTGCAGTGGATGCCCTAAATATGCCAAGACAAAAAGAAACCGTCCAGATTTAGAGAAATGTTGCAAGGGAATGAGAGAACCAACCAACTTTGTACCTGAAGCACATTTGCCATGGTATTTAGGGTTCCACCGTAGGGGGGGGGGGTCTTCATTTTGGGACAAGTTGTAGTTTCAAGTCGGGATGCTCTTTGGGATCTTTTTTCTGCCGAACCTCTCTTTTGCACCAAAGGAGTCTGACATGGCCATGGGTCAAAATCCCGTACCCCCAGTGAACATCAACCAATCCCCACTACAATGGACAAAAATGGGTGGTGCACCCACCAACCAAAATGGTACCCACTGCCACATCACTTTCTTCAAATCCGGGAGATCCGGACGCGCGCGCGCGCGCGCCTTCGCCCCGGAGCCGCAGCGCCGGGCGCTCCAAGTCCGAGTCGCCGCCCGCGTGCAGCTGCTCCACTGGAGCGCCCAGGTGCAGCTCGAGGCCCTCGGCCAAGTGCTCCGGCAAGGCCTCGAGGGGGGCTTCGCTGTGAGGGGCTGGTGGTATGTGGTATGTGGCTAAAACAAAGGGCGCCCACCATTTTTGTTGGGAGAGGGGCTTCAAGTGGTCGCACCCTTTGTTGGAAGGCCTGGTAATCATTTGTGGGGGTATTCGCCGTCCGACATGTGTGGCCGCTTGGATGTCCGGTTTGCAAGGTAGAAGCTACACTTTTCGGCTGGCTTCACCTTTCTTGGATTCCCCCCCACTGCATGCTTTCTTGCCCACGTCAGGGCAAGCAGGTTGCCTTCACCAGTGATGAAGGGAACTGGCTCCCATGGCTATGACATGCTTTCTAGGAGGGTTAAACATTCAAGTCGGGATTTGGACAAATGGAATGTGACGTTTCTTGGAGTTGGTACCCTTTTCCGCCAACTGGGATGTTCTTTGCTCACGTCAGGTTGAGCTTATAGCCATGACGATAACTGATATCCTGGATTAGTTCCCTGCCTGCTTTCCCGACTTGGGCAAGAAACATCCATTCCCACCCCACCTAGTCATCCAATTTCGGGACGATGGACCTCTTTTTTGACTTCCCCAAAAACAACCCAAAAGGGATTTCCCTAAAAATACCCAAAACACCAAAAGGGCTGAGGGCGTTTCCGTCCAATGGGAACAAAGGGACTAATACCAGACCCCTCGATAATTTCCCTCGAGGGAACCCCCCCCCTTTGCGCTTGACCACCTGCATGCCACCCTCTGGCAGAGAGGAGTTGCCCTCCGCCAGCATCCGCAAAACAAACTGGAAGCAGGCGGCGCTCTGCGCTTTCAGCGGCGTCACGTAGATGGCCTCGAAGAAGGGTCGCCTAAGGCCGAGCCAAGCACAAGACAAAAGGCTGCGTGTTTTTGCTTGAGGCTGGTGGCTTAAGGGGATGCGACAAGGAAAGCCACATTTTGAGGGCCTCTGTTTTTCTGGAGATGGTACCCTTCAATGCTGCTTCCATAGCTTTACAGGCGAGGAGCAACCCGCTGAGGGTGGGTGACCCGAAACCAAACCAATGTTGGACCCTTGCCCTACAACTGCCAACCCCAAACACACCTCCAGTTCTTGTCTGATTTGGTCTATCCGATCCAAGCAAAAGGCATTTCGGGGGGGGGGGGGGGTGTTGATGACCAACCTTGCTGGGACTGGCGAAACCACAAGTGGCAACTGTCAGGCTTGAGCAGGTCATAGGAATTGCAACCCAAGGACTAAGTCTTAAGGGGGCTTTCAGGCGTCACAGAAGTGGCTCAAAAAATCACCCTCTTGTCCGAAATTCAATCTCATGGGGCCAGAACCACTCCAGTGGCACCAGTTCATGTAAAAAAAAAAAAAAAACGCCGAAACCGGCAAAAAGACTTTTGTCTGGCGCCTCTACTTGCGTTCGTTGACCCCTGGTGGTTGTTGCTGGTTGTTTTGCCCAACACAGCCGTTCTTTCTCCCAACCCCCGGGTCTTGTTCAGCCAAAGCTGCAAAAAGCGATCCACCAAGGACCTCGACAGGCCCAAGGACCGCAGGAACGCCTCGGTGCTCTGCCCAGAGGACGCCTTCCCCTCCCGCTCCAGCGCGGCATAGGGGCCTTCCAGGAACACCTGGCACCCAAGACATTCTTGCTTCTTCGGATTCCGTACAAAGCCAAAAACAAAGTTTTGAACATTAAGGAGTTTCCCATGGCAGGTCTGAGGAACCAGTGCAAGATTTCACACAGGTCGACTGAATTTGTTCCTTCAAAGTTTTATTAGAACTACCCCTCGTCCAAATTCCCCGCGACCCCCGAAATCCAAATGCCCACCTGGCGCAGGCGCAGCATGCCCAGCGCCAGGATGTCCCAAAAGGAAGCCTACCACGCGCACAGCGTGGTAAAACAAAAACAAAAAACAAAAAAAGGGGGGGAACAGAGCCCAGGTTTACGCAGCCTGCTGGATTCACAGGGAAAGCTTCCCGAGAAAGACTCCATCTAAACTGGGAACATGCCAGAAAGGTAGCTTTATGTCAAGCACGTACTCAAAAAAGACTTTTGCCACAGATTTTGCCGCCGGGCGATGCCGCTGGCCACGGTGCGCCAGAGGTAGCGAGGGCTCCGCGAGGGGTCCGCCACGATCCGCAGCTCGCCGCCGCCGAAGGCGAGATACGCCCCGGGGGCGAAGCCGCGCAGCTTCAGGCGCCTCAGCAGGGCTCCCATTGTGGCACCACTGGAGGGAGGCTGGGCGAGTCACAATCAGAACCCGGTATTCAATTGGTCGTAATCCCAAAAAACCACGCTTCAAGAATTGAGAATCCGCAGCTGTTTATGGTTGGGATTCTCCCTTACTGACCTTCATCTACCCGGATTTTGATTGTAGCTCAGGTGGCCGAGGTTCTGTCTTTTCACCGAACATGGTGTGGTTGCCTGCGGTGTCCCTTTGGAACCCACCAATAAGAAAGTACCCATGGCGGACAAAATAGGCGGGCACCAGTTGGCAGGTGGCTTCTCCCAAGAATTTCGCAGGGCGTCCCTCCCACGCAGGGTTTCGTCCATCGGCCTTGGAGTCATTTTGGGGAAACCGGAAAAAAGGCGTGTGGGTGATGGGTTCAGCAAATTGATTGGTTTCCAAGGTGATCGACAAGGTCGCTTCAAGTGTGGGAAAGCCCGTTCAACCATGTTCTAGAGGGCCTCCCAAGCTAACTTTTTTTTTTGAGGAGTAGGTAATGTTGAGGATGTCACTTTCACGGACGCAGCACAACGCACCGCATTCACAATAATTCCAAGACAGGTGAGTAGGTTAATTATAACCATGCTTGTGACTGGAATAAGTGAAAAGGCATAGGCATAGTTACACCAACGAAGACGGAGGAAGGAGTTGCTACCGACCTCCCTCAACTGCTTGATGGAGCTCATCTGAGGAGCGACGCCGTCGAATGATGCTGATCAAATTTCCGACACTACTCTCCCTCCACAAACATGGCCCCTAGCCAGGGGGTTCTTTGAAAGGGACAAGGCAACCGTCGGCGAGTGGGACTCGCACGCAGCCGAGGCGCTTCTTGAGATCTAAGCGTTTCACCTCGGGATACGCCTCGATAAGGATTTGGAAGCCATGGTCCAAGAGGAAGCTGCCTGGTCGGGGCGGCCGTCATCCCAAAAAAGGCAGAAGCGCTTGAAACAACCAGCTACCCTCGCTGAGGCAGCAAAAACGAAAGCGCAAACGCCAAGTGAACGCCGCAGCTGCGCCTCTTGGATGCAGCACTCAAAACCATGTTAAACCCAGAGTTGGAGTGTTTGCCTAAAATCAAGGCTCCAGTCCAGCCACCCCTGTTCTTGTTTCTGAAATGGAGACTCCTCCAGAGCGACAAGTCAATCTTTGTTTGAAAAAAAAAAAAAAAAACGAATACGAGCTGTACGCGGGGAAGCCCCCTTTTGAGGGTCTTATCGGTCCTATCCCTCAAAACCGCATGGCCAAAGAGCCCCATGAAAACCCAGCCTTCGCTGGCACCACCTGACAGTCGACCTGACAGCGGCGAATGGCCCACCCCCTCCCTTCGCAAACCCCGCCCGCCAACCTCAACATACCCCCAAAACCTGATCAACATGTTTAGGGCCAACTAAGCCAAAGGCCGACCAATCCCCAAAATCAAAAACAATCGTTTGCTTGAAGCAGAAAAAGAAAAAATAGCGACTGAGCACGCTTTGAGGTCCCTGTCCACCCCTCCTCCCCCCTCCTCCCCCCCCTCCCCCCACGCAGGCCCCGCCTGGCAGCGGCACTCGGTCCGTCTTCACCCGGCCCCCCACCGCCTCCGCAGCCTCAAAGACCTCCACCCGCGCAGACCTCCGCAAGGCCCGGGCGCAGGCCAGGCCCGCCACCCCAGCGCCCACCACCTAGCGCCGCACCAAAACATCGTGTATGCACCACGAACATCGCGTATAAATATATATATATATATATATATATAATTATTTATATGCATATATGTTACATCTCATGTAAGTTGACATTCGCAAGCGAAACATAGCAATATTGCCATCCCAACAAACAAATAGTGTGGTCAATCCAACCGACATTGCTGCATTGCGCAAGCTGATTTCAGCAGGACTGTTCACTGTTTGTTTCACCTATTCATCAACATGCCAGACCGAAACAAATCACACATGTTCAGTTGCAAGAGCATTGCCATGCAGCCCAAACACGGCGACGTGCATATTCGCTCTCGGGCTGTCCTTTGCCTCAGCTCTACGGAACACCTTCCATGTCCAGGGCATCGTCGATACCGGCCGAAGATGCACAGATGGTGCACAAAGAGCGCCCGCGTCTGCAAAAGCCACTGTCAAGCTGAAGAGAAGCCAGCCAAATGCATGGCTGGAAAACAACATGCACTTGATGCTTCCACGTGTGCTTGCGACTGTTGATCTGACAAATTCGGCAATCATGATTAGCCAAACCACAACGAAAAAGATATCTCGGTCTCAGGCTCAAGTGAATGCATTGGTCTTTCAGCAAGAAAAGAATGCATGTTTGGCCATCCACATGACATGTTGGTCCGCGCACGGACTGCTGCAAACAAGGCATGGTTTATGGAATCAATTATCGCCAGCTCGTGCAGGCAGTATGTGTTAGATGGTTTGCCAAAAATATCCGGCCAAGGTTACACCGTTCAAATATTGTGATCATGCCATGTTGCAATAGAAATGTTCTGATTGTATTGCTGCAACAGCGTCAGTCCTGTTTATTTGCGCGAATGATGCTGAAGTGCGAACAATTTTGATCACCGAAGCCTGCAGCGAATCTCAGTCCTTGCTGATGCATGCATAACAAACTACATGCTTCACATAAAGTACGGTTTCAACCGGAGCTCATCATGAACCCCCAAGTGTGTTGGATGCATATTTAAGCACCCCGCCTCAGATTCTGCTGAATCCTGTAGGCTGAATCTGGATTTCTTCATGATAACCAGACTCAAAGTATCTGTACAAACATCATTGACCTGAAAAAAGCACACAGTTCTTTTCACAGTGTTGCTCATCAACTCGCGTGTGAAAACCGGATCTTGAAAGGATCCTCCATAGGCAAAAGTGGCCTCCGAACTCATCGTCCCCGGAGTACCCCACCAGAAACTCCCGATGGAGCTTTACCACGCCCCTTGCCAAAGCTGTGACATGTTTGGCACACCTTGTAACTTGTAATTGGCCAAAATGGCCGCGCTCTCTGTCATCTCAATGTGGCCACGCAGAGTCCACTTGCAACCTGGCTTGTGGTAGCACCGGCCGCCGCTTGTCACCCAAACAACAGTCCTGTCTGCAAATAGGTCGCTGCCGCTGACGACCTTTCAACCGTAAGCTCTTCCTCAAAACGCAAGCTGCTGGCCACTCGCACATCCACAGTCTGTGTACTGCGGTCTTCGCAGACGCTCCGTTTGTACAACCGATATCCACGCGCATACATGCAGAATGTATAGCAAACACATAGCAAGAAAATCACAAATCCGCTGAACATCACAATATCAAAGATAATCCAGAACTGGTTCTCGCTCATAAAGATTGGGCTCTCTTCCAGGCTCAAGGCTTCGTCAAGGCTGTTCTCACCTGTACTACATCCCATCAAGTTGCTCACAGTTCCCAACTGCAGGATCCGCTTTGCCAAGGTCATGCCGCGGCTGCCGACCAATCCATGCTGGTCCCGAAGCTCCTGCTGGATCCTCCGAACCGTGCTTCGCAGATGCAACTGCTCTTCCATCTCTGCCACGTTTGATGCACCTATCGGTGCACCTTCCTCGTCGCGCATGCCTGAAAAATTCAAGAGTGCATCGCTGCGTGTCCGAGCCAGGGGCTTCGTAAACAAATCTGCAATGTTGAAACGCGTCGCAATTGCTGAGCGTTCAATGTTGGTCTCCTTGCACTTGGATTGCAACCAAAGCGCATCTTGCCGTCCAAATGCTTCACCCTTCCGACTCCGGATCTCGCAACGTGCAGCTGCTGAGTCACACAGCAGTCTCAAGTGTAACGGCTGATCAGGCATCAGGAACTTTAAAACGTTCCTCAGAAACAAAGCATCTACTGTTGTCGAAGTAGCCGCGTTGTACTCGGCCTCTGCAGTTGACAAACTAATCGATTTCTGAGTTCGGCTCGAACTGCTCAAGAAATTTCCATCGAGCAGAATGGCCGCTGCTGAAACGCTTCGCCTCGTAGTCTTGCAACCGCTCCAGTCGCTGTTCGTGAATGCTTCCAAAAGCAACTCGCCGCTCGGCGACACACCTGCAAATCCGACTCCTCGCTTGGGTTCATCAAACACAAGCATGCGGCGCGTGGTCTGAGTTAGATAACTCACCAAATGCTTCAATGTCCTCATGTCTCCTTCAGTTGGCATGGACATCTTTTGCGAAAGCAATCGAATACTGGGCTTCAAGCACATCTGCACTCAAATACAAAAGCACTCCCACACATGTCCGATAAATCCCCGCCTGTTCAGCATTCAGAGGTTCAAAGCGTCCTTCATCTTCTCCACGTGCTTGGGACGAGGTTCCATCCCCAATCGACCACTGACAACAACACATGTTTCCGCTTCAGAAACCAAATCTCATCTCCAGGCTTCCGCAAATACTCCACATTAATCTCACACCGCTCCTCACACCCTGCAGAAACTTTTCAATCGCTGTAGCCTGACCGGTCAAAAGCACGTCATCAATATGCAAATTGAATACCACCAGTCCCTCCTGCACACGAAAGAAATTTAGCGACTCCACACAAGGAACTGCATTCAAATGTTGCACTGCATATCCACAAAAGTCTTCAATTGGCGGAACCATCACGTTGGCCTGGCACACACATCAAAAGGCGATACCCAATAGTGCCCTGAAGCTCAACGCTGATAGTCGTCTTGATCTTCTGCTTGACCTTGAGGTAAGCATCTTTCACATCCACCGCTGCACCAATTTTCAGACTTGTGCATATAGATGCTGGGGATAACCCTCGTACTGCATGAGTTGATGCCGGGCTGTAGAGCTGTTCTCTGCCTTTGTCCATCCAAGCATACTTGCAAGCGACCAGACGCGCTCGTCGAAGCCAATATAACTTGTCTGTCAAGAGGGCTTCTTATGGGTTTCCTATGGGTTCCTATGGCTTTCCTATAGGGTTCCTATAGGTTCCTAAAGGTTCTTATAAGGGCCCAAAAAACCTCCGAGCTCCGACACCTGCCCGGCAAAGAAGCCTCCACCCGGCCGCGCCACCTGCCCGGCATCGGAGCCACGCCAGCCCGCCGACAACGTGGAGACTTTGACACCGAGCGCGCCACATCCCTGCCCGGCATCGGAGCCACGCCAGCCCGCCGACAACGCGGAGGCTTCGATACCAAGCGCGCCACATTTCTGCCCGGCGTCGGAGCGTCCATAGAAGCCTCCTGCCGAGCCCAGGTCGGAATTCCGACTTTGCTCTACACCGAGGTTGGAATTCCGATCGCTCCTGGCGGAAAAGAAAGACGCCCGGCAGCGGGCCTAAAAGCTTGGACCCAACCTTCTCGCCGCGGAGCTTAGTTTCAAGCACGGCCACGCGGCCTTAACAAGGAAAAAAACCCAAAAACGGGGAAAAGAAGAAACGGAGGATTTCCAACAGAAAGAAAAAAAAGACCAATCCGAACGGCAAAGAACGCGCCTTAATGGAAGTTAACGCGGCCCTGTTCTGCCAGGCAAGCGGGAAAAAGGGAAAAAGCCTTGACCAGCAGCTGATGCGCAGGCGGAACGTGCTCTTTAAGGTGCGCTACCTTATGCTGGAGCCCCTGGAGGGCCGTGCTGCTTGTTCGGCTGGACGTCTCCGGCAGCTTGGAAACTTGTCGCCCTTAAGGCGCCCACGTTCTGGCGTAAGGTGGCATGACTCCAGGTCCAGACGCGGTTGTGGCTTGCAGCAGCTTGTTCTTTAGCTACATTCCGTTGGTTTTTTTCCGCCGGTTCCAACAAGGCAGCTTGACTACACCCCACAAGCGCGTGGCCCTTTGCAATGCAAGAAGTCCGCGGGGCGCAACACTTCACAGCTCCAGGTTGGTGTTGGCTGCAAAGCGCATTTCAACTCTCTTGGCTCCGTCGTTCTGACAGCACCTCCACGTTAACCTTGCACACCAGCGCGCAGTTCTTACAAACATACATTTCCCCTAAAACGTCCAGCTTATGGTTGCAAAGTTCGGCTTTTTTATCTTGTAAAGAAAAAATTTGGTCCGATGAACGTGCAAGTTTTTATTGTCGCACTGGACTGGAAGTTGTCTTGCTGGACATTGTGTCAAATCAAAATTTGAAGCTTACAATTCATTGAAATAGCCGGAGCTGGAACTCTAAGATCTTTGCGCTTGGACTTGCTTATGTGGGTGTTAAGAGCCACCGGGCTGCCAAAGACATGGTGGATGTAACCTGCTGCAAGTACGGAACTCCGTACAGGAAGCAGACGCGGCTGTGCACCAACATGCGCAAGCTCTGCCGTAGCTCATTTTTTTCGCACTGTCATTCAACTTCAATAACAAAGAAGAACAACAGTGGGTTTTTTGGCGCTAGTCCCCAGCACTCAGACGTTTGTGCCGGAGAGCGTTACCAGCTGGTTGGCCACCAGGTGGATAATCGTGCCGTCCAGGCCCTTGAAAGTGGCTTGTCCAAGCAAGTGCTGACACCACTTAACGGCATCTTGGGCACGAGCTCTGTTGGAAAGCCGGCAATAAAGCTGTGGCGCAGGTAGCCTACACGGCCAATGTCAATGTCGCGCACCGTTTGTTGCAACTACCCGCAAGGACCAAGAGGAACCTTGGAGCTTCTTTCATGGACAACAAGTGAATTTTGGAGCCCGCGTTGTTGTTCCAAAAAGTCACAAACGCGCCCAGCGCCACGGTAACGTTGTACTCTTGCCACTCCCTCTCTCTTTAGAGGGGGTTTCCCAAATGGATTCTATTCTACCTGAGAGGCTCCTAGCACTCGTCCGTCCAGGAAACGACCTCGTCCTGCGAAGGATTTGAAGTCTAAAACGCTGCGTGGAGGCGTGTGGCTGTCATTAGATACGCTTGCAATTTGGCTCCAGGTTGCATTTCAAGCGAGCCAACCTTTGCAGGGCTAAGAAAAAACAAAAAAAAGACAGGCAAAAAGGGTCCCGAAAAAAAAGGGGAAAGGGGTTTCCTTTGGCAAAGCTTGACATCGCTTAAAATGCAACCTGGAGCCAAATTGCTGCGCTATCTAGGAGTCATTATTTTGCAGCCACACGCCTCCACGCAGCGTTTTGGAAACCCCCTCTAAAGAGAGAGCTTGGCCTGCTCTGCAGGTGCTGCAGAGGTGGTGCGAGGCACTAGGGCAGGAGTACCGGGGCCAGCGGCTGGCCGGGCTGGCACACGAGATCTTCCTGAAGCTGCTCAAGGCGAAACGAGAGGTGCCCAGCGCGG